CAGTAATTGTACTTAAAGACCAGCCTGTTATTTCATTACTGATTACTGACATATATTTTTGTGTTCTCTCTTCACTATACACTTAAAAATTGTGCCAATATTTCCATTGCCACACTGTTCAGAATCTAATATATGTTTTATCGATCTTGCTTCTGCTGTTGGGGCAAAGCAAGCTTATTTGTTACTTGTTACTTGTGCACAAGAAAAATAAATAATGATAAAAAAAAAAGGTTTTGGCAAGCTTCTCTTTTCTCTTTTTAACTGGATCGGTCATAGTTAATTGAGTTGTGTGTTTATTTTTCCATTCCCCTTCTTAAATACTTTAGTCTTAACTACAAACCTACTACTATATCACTGTTTAGTAGATACACCCTCAATTAAAACATGCATGCATTTAAATTTCCTTTTTTTATTGGGGTTTACCTAAAAACTTGCATAAGTTGCAGTTCTCTTGTCTGAAGCCTTTGCTGCCCTTCCTTTCTAACTCCACCCAGACTTTCTGTGGCGGTCCACTGAGCAAAACAACCAGGAAGTAACATGGCCAACAGAATAGTAATAGGTCAGATTGGAAGTCGGGGGGGGGTGGTGGTGGTGCATGAAGACTAATTTATAAAAAATGTCAATTTCTATTGAAATCTGCCCTTTTTATAAATAAAGGAAAGAGGACAATCTCTTCACACAGCTAAAGTGCTTTAGGGATCAGGAGTGACCCTTTAAGTTGGCTACACTGGGTACCATCATGAAAAGAATTGAAAGATTGCAAGGTTGTATTTATACCTCAGTAATTGTCAGGCACAGAATTTTCTGATGAATTAATCTTGTTACACCCCCTGGCTACCAATCAGACAATTGGTGCTGTTACTTCCTGGTTGTTTCATCAGTGGACAGCGACAGAAAGTCTGTACTGGCAAAGAAGGGGAGGGCGACAAGAGATCTGCAACTGGAATTATTTTTTATCTAAAGCATACAAATATATATTTTTACATTATTACAGTGTGAGGGTTGTAAACACCTGGCCTGAAAGTACAAATAAAGAGCTTTTTTCTTGCCAGCCCTGCCACATGCTCAAGATACCTAGATGGGAGGTATACAGCCAAGATAGGATAGGTGCTGCTTATAAGCAGAGCAAAGTGCTTACATTTGGGCAAAAATGCCCCTGAGTAGCCTAGCACAGGGGTAGGCAACCTTTTTCACTCCAGATGTTGTGTACTACATCTTTCATGAGGCAGTTACATCCATAATGCAGGTAAAGTATTTTGGGAGATGTACCCCACTAAACCTGGAGTGACAAATGTTGGCTATTCCTGGCCTTGCACATCTATAGGTGAATTGAAGTACAATTTGCAGGAGTTTTCTCTGGAGTCCCTAGAACTGATACACTAAAGGAAAGAAAATGGGACAAATGTCCAAATTGAGACTCTTCTGCTTTGTTTTACCATTTTACGTGTGTGAGGGAAACACATGTCTGATTTCCTGGTTCTTTATTTCATTGTCAAGACGGAACAAGATGTAGCAGGTCAAACTGACAAGTCAGAACATCCCGTAAAGGGCTTACAGTTCTCACAGATTTTTATTCCATCATTTAAAATAAATGACATATACTTCTTAATAGTAGGTAAAAAAAAAAAAAAAAACAGACAAGGATAATGTATAAACATTGTATAAACATTAGGCTAGGGGATAATGGGATGATGATATTTATGCAACCATGAAAAAATTATGCAGCCCAACAACATAGTAATTATTCAAATCAATTCCTCTGCTTCACTGACTAGTTCAGAACGTCCTCTGTACACAGAGTTACCTTTCAGTCTCTCATATAGAGCTTCTTTGATCTTATGAAAGTCCTACCTATTCCAAGCAGGTTTTTCCTCTAATCTCCAAGTTATTATAAAATCCTCTAAAGCCCACTTCTCTAGGGATTCAAGTTCCATGTTCATTAGTTAATGGAGTCATCATCAGATGGTCATCCAACAAGGGTGAAACTCATTTAGTCATCATCAGGCACAATCCACCTCTCAAAGTTATCATCAGAGGTGGGAAATGATGGGTGATAATCACAGAATGATTAGCTGATTGATTCACAAGCATTAACACCATGATTCATTGCTATATAGTGCTGATGGAGTAATATTGTGACACTAACCAATCAGCCACATAGTATTGCTTTATAAAAACCTTCAGTTACATAAATAGAATGTTTAAGTGGATTTAGCTTTTAAAGCTTATATGCTAAACATGTCATTTTACAAGATACAGGAAAATTACACATTCTACTTTACAAATATGATACTTAAATTTGCTTTAGAAAGTAGATAATGCACTAACAAAGCAAAATGCTTAGACATGGGAAAAGCACAGGGAATAATGATTTACACTATTTATCCACTATATAAATCCACAGGTGGATAACAAAGACGGAAAGGAGAGACAAAGAAAGATGAAGTAGAGAAAAGATTGATGCCAGATGGATAAATATGCAAATATAAGAGTGCATAAAAAGAAGCTAAACAGTTAAAACAGTTGTATTTTAAAGCTGTTGTATATAGCAGACACATACTCCAAGGAATCCATGTATAAAGTGGAAATCACTAATTTATTTTATACCTCATGTGGTACATGAGGTACGTTGCTTATGCATTATATGATCATATAATGTAACTAAACCCCCATTATTTTTTGCCTAGGTGAGCTTTTTAAATAAAACTTTTACAATGTATGATATTTGAAATTATTGTTTAGTGAATAAGCGAGAGCGCTGAATTGTGTATTTTGTATATATTGGCCCCAGCAACACACTATAATGTATGCATGTTCAGGTGAGTGCCGTCCTCTTGGCAGGGCCGGCGCTTCCATAAGGCGGCCCAGGCGGTCGCCTTAGGGCGCACCGGCCCTGGGGGCGCAATGTCAGGCTGTCCAGCTGCAGGGGAGTACTTTATGAAGCGTGGCCGAGCGCAAGCGCCTCCCCTCAGCACAGCCGCTAACCACCCGTCCAGCATACTGCCGCCCGAGGAGCCTCCTGAACTGGTGTCTGACATAAGCTGTGTGAATGAAATCATATCATGCTCCCTGTGTACCACACAGCGCGGCTGGCGCCCTGTGATGAGGCTGGGCTGCAAGACAGAACTCCAAAGAGCCGGTCACCTGTCAGCATGCACCTCAAGGACCTGTATATACAGTAGGTATGTAATTGTGACTGTCTGTGTTTGTGTGTATGTATGTCTCTGTGTGCCTGTATGTATGTATGTTTGTGTGCCTGTATGTATGTATGTATGTATGACTCTCTGTGCCTGTATTGTATGTATGTCTCTGTGTGCATGTATGTATGTATGTGTGCCTGTATGTATGTCTCTGCGTGCATGTATGTATGTCTTTGTGTGCATGTATGTATCTATGTATGTCTCTGTGTGCATGTATGTATGTCTCTGTACGCATGTATGTATGTATGTATGTATGCCTCTGTACACATGTATGTGTATGTGTCTGTATGTATGTATGTGTCTGCATGCCTTTACGTCTTTGTATGTATGTTTCTGTATGTCGGTATGCCTCTGTATGCCTACATGTCTCTGTACCTCTGTATGTGTGTATGTCTCTGTATGTGTGCATGTCTCTGCCTGTATGTCCCCGTGTGACTGTCTGTATGTCTGTGTGACTGTTTCTGTATGTCTCTGCCTGTATGTCTCTGTATGATTATGTCTGTGTTTGTATGACAGTGTAACTGTAAGACATTGTTTGATTGTGTGCCTGAAAAACAATGTCTGTGTGCCTCTATGATTGTTTAACTATGTATGTATTTTTGCCTACATATCTATGTCTACATGGCTTGGAAGAAAAGACACACAAAGGGATCTGGAGGGGAGGGACACACAAAACAGACTAAGGGGAGAAATAGCCACATAGAGGGACTGTGGTGGAGAATAAAACTAAGAAAGGGGCTGGGGGTAAGAGACACAAAAAGGGGATGGGTGTAAGTAAGAGACATACAAAGGAGGTTGTAAGACACACTAAAGACGGGTAATACATTCAAAAGAGGGGATATGAAACACTAAAGACGGTAAGAAAGTAAGAGATTCAAAAGGGGGGGCGGTTACAAGACACACAGGTGAAGATGCACTTTTTTTTGCGGGTGGAGGGGAAGGGGGCAACAAAATGCATCTTCACCTGTGTGTCTTGTAACCGCCCCCCCTTTTGAATCTCTTACTTTCTTACCATCTTTAGGGATGAACACCCCAGTGAGTATCTCGAGAAAGGAATCTTTTTTTAAAAGACTTACTAGATGGTACAGAACCCCAGCCCAATTACATAAATACTGGCCAGCTGTTAGTGATCGATGCTGGAGATGTGAAACAGAACGGGGGGACATGGAGCACATTTGGTGGCAATGTAAATACATGAGTTCATATTGACAGCAGGTATTAGGTGACATATATTGGATTTTGTCCATTCCTATGCAGCTAACCCCGTCCCAGATACTGTTTGTTGGCCAGCCTCCTTTCAAGAGAAACATAAACAGCAATTACTCAATCACATATTGAATGTAGCAAATGCACTGATTCCGATGCATTGGCGAAAATCGTTTGCACCAACCAGAGAACAATGGATACAGAGAGTTGAAGGTTTAAGGGAAATGGAGGAAATCCATTGGTCGGCAAAGGGAAAGAGAAAGCACTATCTCAAGGTCTGGGAGCTCTGGTTAACACAATGGATAGACCCCTTACAGATAGATGGACAACTGCTGTTCTAGAGGTCAAGAGGTTAGAGATATACATATAATATATATATATACACCGTATATACTCGAGTATAAGCCGAGTTTTTCAGCACATTTTTTGTGCTGAAAAACCCCGACTCGGCTTATACTCGAGTCAGTCTGTATTATGGCAATTTACATTGCCATAATACAGACCAGGACCGCCGGGCTCATTACAAGCCCGGCGGTCCTGTTGGGGGCTGACAGTGAGCGGTTACTTACCTTCCTGCAGCTCCTGTCAGCTCCCTCCTCCTCCGTGCAGCTCCTCGGTCAGCTCCGTTCTGCTCCCAGTGTAAATCTTACACTTACACTTGCACTGTAAACAGAACAGAGCTGACAGAGGAGCTGCATGGAGGAGGAGGGAGCTGATGTTAAATTAATGTTATATTATTTTATTATTATATTATTATTATTTTAATATTTGCATTATTTTTTTTAATGTTTTTTTGTCCCCCCTCCCTGCTTGTTGCCTGGCCAGGGAGGGGGGACAAAAAACATTTTAAAAAATAATGCAAATATTAAAATAATAATAATATAATAATAAAATAATATTATTATTTTAATATTATATTATTTTAATATTATTTTATTATTATATTATTATTATTTTATATATTATATATTATTTTTATTTTTAACAAACACACACACACTGCATTCATTATATATACACACACAAACACACACTCTGCATTCATTCTATACACACACTGTAAATAAATATTTAATTAATGTAATTTTATTGGGATCTAATTTAATTTAGAAATTTACAAGTAGCTGCTGCATTTCCCACCCTAGGCTTTTACTCGAGTCAATACGTTTTCCCAGTTTTTTGTGGTAAAATTAGGGGCCTCGGCTTATATTCGGGTCGGCTTATACTTGAGTATATACGGTATATATATATATATATATACATATACATAGAATATGCAAAAAGCAGACATCACTCCCCCTCCCCCCTGTTCTTTCTTCTCTCTTTTGTTCCTCTTAAATTTTTCTCCTTTCTTAACTATCCTTTTTTGTGTTGTATTTTCTTTAGGATTGATAAAGATATAATTGGTAATATTATATTATTGAGTAGTGATATTGTCATAAGTTATGAATACTTTACTTAGGTAGATATAGGTTGGTTGGAGGTAATGCGATACACGGTAATAAGTTCATAAGGATTTAATGAAGTGGTCTGGGTGCCAGGTCCCTCTAGGATTATCCCTTTTTTTTTTTTTAAACATAGCAGTTTCAGAGAAACTGCTATGTTTATAAATGGGTTAATCCAGCCTCCAAAGCCTCTAGTGGCTGTCTCATTGACAGCCGCTAGAGGCGTTTGCGTGCTTCTCACTGTGAAAATCACAGTGAGAAGACGCCAGCGTCCATAGGAAAGCATTATAAATGCTTTCCTATGAGATTGGCTGAATGCGCGTGCAGCTCCTGCCGCGCATGCGCATTCAGCCAAAGAGGAGGATCGGAGGCGGAGAGGAGGAGGAGAGCTCCCCTCCTGCCGCTGGAGAAAGAGGTAAGTTTAATCCCTTCCTCTCCCCAGAGCCCGGCGGGAGGGGGTCCCTGAGGGTGGGGGCACCCTCAGGGCACTATAGTGCCAGGAAAACAAGTATGTTTTCCTGGCACTATAGTGGTCCTTTAATGGGAGACGCAAAACAAAGTCTCTCTTCATACCCCTTTTTTTTTATATGGGCTTCTTATTAGCAATAATTAAAGTAATACATATGATGATTTGGTACTGGACAACCTCAATTACAGATAAAGAGATATGAATCATATACCAATTTCTGATGTTAAAAAAAAAAAAAAAAGTAGTTATAGATGCAATAAGTAAAGTATGAGGCCAGGTTATTAAATATACCGCAATCAGGTGCTGTGATAGCTAATTCCACTTATGAAATTAGTTAAATTCATACGGAAAAAGTTGCTATTATAAAATATTATTTTAGAACAAAGTCTGTGTTGAGTTGTATTTCAGAATCTATGGTGAGATACAGTTGATCCCATTATGCTACAACAGCGATCACATTTTGTTGAGAATCAGTAAGTTGATACACAATATGACGCATTTAATGAGCAGTGACCCAATCTCTTTCAGCAGAGCTTAAATAACAGACCTATAGATTTTTTTTCAGGGGGAATTAGAACAACATGACAGAGTTTATGCTCTGAAAAATTAGACATACTCTTGATCTGTTATTTTGAGCTGTTCAGAATACACAGAATAATTTAGACAATAAAAGTTAACAAGCTAGATTTGTTCTTCATTTACAGTTCTGTTTTTAATAAAGGTAATTTTTTTTTAGTAATAACTACTCTACATGCATCAATCAGCATAAAAATTAGCTATGCTGAATGTGCTACAAAAATGCAGTTTTAAGCTCTATTATTTAAACTCCCCTCCAAACAATGGGCTAGTTTCTATGTTTTCCGAAATCATTTCAAGTTTGTAATTGCTGTTGTTAGTGATTACTGGTTGTGTATGCAGAGTACGAAATTTACAGAAAAATGTCAGATCTTTAAAAACGCTAAGCAGAAGCTCTCAAATGGTCATTGTGCATGTTCCGAGTGAGCGTTTGTTTAGTGTACTGGTGGGGGAAATGCAAAGTGGTGGTCGACTACATTGACAGATATTAGTAACGTGAAGACCAAGTGTTGACCATGGAAACCTGTCAGTATGTTATAACAAACATGTACTGACCATTTGTATTAATAGTGCTTAACAGATGCTGATTATCTTTGTGGATGGAAATTTGTCCATTGTATATACATGAGCCAGTTTTTGTTTTGTATTACAAGGCAGTGCAAAATTTTATTTAATCTATAAATGTCCACTCATCATCACATTCGTACCCTGCAGTGAGTTTCTGTTCTTTCTGCTGAGAATAAATGTGCAGAGAGGCTATGATTGGAAGCCTCCTCCGACCTCCCATTTTTTACAGAAACGCTTGTAGTTCAAACTTCATGGCTGCATTCTAGCACCCAGGAAGGGGGAGAGGGTTACAGAAACAGGACTCATGTGAATTTAGGATTCAGTGCAGGCAGTCATAGCAATCTGCAATGCCTTAAACAGTAAAAAGGTGTATATGTACTTACTGTATGTTGGTAATATTGCCCAAATAAGCTTAAAGGGACACTACAGTCACCAAAGCAACTTTAGCTTAATAAAGCAGTTTTGGTGTATAGGTTATTCCCCTGCAGTTTCACTGCTCCATTCTCTGCCATTGAGGAGTTAAATAACTTTGTTTATACAGCTCTAGTCACACCTCCCTGCATGTGATTTGCACAACCTTCATTTACTGCAAATTCTGTTTAATTAAGAATGTCTTATCTTCTGCTCTGTTTATAGCTTGCTAGAACCTTCATGATCCTCTTGTATGTAATTAAAGTTTAATTTACAGAGCAGGAGATAAAAACTTTTAAACTACTTTTCTGATTGAAAGTGAAACCATTTCTGTGTCAGTCACAGCCAGGGGAGGAGTGGCTAGGAATGCATAAATAGAAACAAAAGTGATCTAACTCCTAAATGGCAGTGAATTGAGCAGTGAAACTTCAGAAGCATAATCTATACACTAAAACAGCTTAATTAAGCTACAGTTGTTTTGGTGACTATAGTGTCCTTTTAAGGCTATTTTAGGAAAGCTCAATTCTCAGAAATGCCAGCAAGTCCCTTATTGTCACACTAATTCACTTACTGAAGGTAACAAAATATTATTGCAAGACAAGAGATAAGAGATGTCATATATATTCTAAAACTTTTTAGAAGCCCAGCACTTTTGCAGAGAATGAAATAATTAATCCTAAATATTTGTTGAAGTATGCAGGTGGTATGCAAGATGCAAGCTTACCATCTTTAGCTTTGTACTGACACGAAACATGCGGTTATCCTCAATGTTATCCTCAGTTTCTTGTTACAGAAGTTTTTTACTTTTTGTATTTAATAAAAAAATCTGGAAAATATGTGACATACTTTCAAAAAAACTAGATAAGTTTAAAGTGTATGCTATGTTTCTTGGGAATTGTTTAGTGTGGTCACAGGAAAATCGATGCAGTACACAAGCTTTATACAAGCAGGAGAGTGTTTATGATTTTATCTTGTTTACTAAACCATAACTACAGAAATTACTTTGCAAATTTTTGCATTTCTAACATAAACAGCCTGAAAGAAATGGTTGGATAGCTTGAGAGCAACATTCCATTATTCACTTGAGCCTCCAGCAGCTGACATCATGCTAACAGGGAATCATATGGCTCCCATTCGAGTAACCAATAGCAAATGCCTGAAATGAACGAACGCTATTTATTTAAGAATTCTGCTTTGATAATTTCTTATTGTAATGCCATTTGCATTTTTTATGTGGGAGCACAAATGATTGGTATGCAAGTCTACCATAAACGTCAAGTGAAATTAGTATAAATTCCACCAAATTCAGCAAATAAAATAAATGTGTTTTTTAAATGTTGATAATTTCAAAGTAGATAGTGCAATATGTCCGTAGGCGTTTGAAAGTTAACATAAATATGTTAACTTTCACAGTACTGTCTGCCTGAAATAACCAGAGTGATAAGAACCAGATAGTAAGTAATCTTAGTGCTAAACAAATCATTTAGAAAAGTTTACAAAATGAAGAAAATATAATTACAAAAAATGCACTGATGAGGTTGACCACACTTTTGCACTGAGTATACATTTATTGCTAACAGGTACCTCTTTTTTTTTAACAGCTTCATAATTATGGAAGCATGCTCCAGTGGACTTTAATACTTCCTCCATAATCTATAATCAAAGAGCCCCAAGTCAAAAAAGATGTAGTTTACCAGCACCAATTAAAAATGTTTTGATATTACAAAAGTACAAGTGCTTATAGAAATAATGTTGTAAATAAGCTGCTAAAACACCAAGTGTAGTCTCTCCAAATACACACATTTAAATCCAATACCAAGTATGGTGTAGCTATTTTGAAAAAATGATAATGAAGGCACTTGCTTTATTAAAGCAACGGCTGATGAGCGTTTTCAATATAACAGACAATGTACCTATAAAAAAATAGGGACATCTAATAGTGTAAAATCTTAAAACCAAGTATAAAGTGAAAAATAGGTAAGGAACCACTCTCATTTTTCTGAGCTATAAACCTAACTCAAGTGGAAACAGCAGATAGGTCCATTAAGGTGACATTCCCCTTCTTGTAATAGATGTTCTGTTTTGTCCTATATATACTGAACAAAATTATAAATGCAACACTTTTTTTTTTTGCCCCCATTTTTTGTGAGCTGAACTCAAAGATCTAAGACTTTTTCTATCTACACTGAAGGCCTTTTTCTCTCAAATATTTCTCAAATAGTTCACAAATCTGTCTAAATCTGTGTTAGTGAGCACTTCTCCTTTGC